AGACTTTTGTAGGTTAATTTTGTAACCTGCCACTTTACTGAACGTGTTAATAATTTCTAGGAGTTTTCTGGTGGAATTTTTGGCATCTCTTAGATATATCATATCATCTGCAAAAAAGGGATAATTTGATCTCTTCTTTTCCATTTATTACTCCTGTAATTTCCTGCTCTTGTCTTATTGCTCTTGCAAGAGTCTCAAGCACTATGTTAAAGAGAAGTGGAGATAGTGGACAGCCTTGTCTGGTTCTGATTTCAATGGCAATGCTTCCATTTTTCTCCATTTCAGAGTGATGTTGGCTGTGGGTTTGTTATATATGGTTTTAATTATGCTGAGGTATTTTCCCTCCAGTCTAATTCCCTGTAGGACATTGAACATAAATATATATTGAATTTTGTCAAAGGCCTTCTCTGCATCTACTGAGATGACCATGTGGTTCTTGTCTTTGAGCCCATTTATACGATTTATGATGCTTATTGACTTATGTATATTGACCCATCCCTGCATCTCTGGGATAAAGCTGACTTGATCATGGATGATCTCTTTGATGTCTGTCTGTATGCAGTTTGTAAGTATCTTGTTGAGAATTTTTGCATCTATGTTCATAAAGGAAATGGGTCTATAGTTTTCTTTTTTGGTTGTATCTTTACCAGGCTTTGGTATGAGAGTGATGCTGGCTTCACAGAAGGAATTTGGAAGTTTTCCCTCCAATTCTATTTTTTTGAATAAATTGAGCAGTATTGGATGCAGGTCTTCTTTAAATGTCTGATAGAATTCTGCTGTAAATCCATCTGGTCCTGGCCTTTTTTCAGTCGGGAGGTTTTGTATTACTGTTTCAATTTCTTTTTGTGATACGGGTCTGTTTAAGCTGTTAATCTCTTCTTGGTTTAGTTTTGGTGGTTAGCATGCCTTTAGATATCCGTTCATTTTTGTTAGGTTTTCAAATTTAGTAGAATATAGGTTTTTAAAGTATTCCCTTTTAATTTCTATTTCTTTTTGTGTTATGGTTCTGTTTAAGCTGTTAATCTCTTCTTGGTTTAGTTTTGGTAGTTCCCATGCCTTTAAATATCCATTTCTTTTAGGTTTTCAAATTTAATAGCATATAGGTTTCTTTCTGGTGTCTATTGTGCTATTTCCCCTTTGACCTGTGCTATTTCCCCTTTGATCTCTGCTTTTGTTGATTTGGAGGTGCTCTTTCTTTCTTTTGGTTTACTGCTCTAGCAGTCTGTCAATCTTGTTTATCTTTTCAAAGAACCAGCTCTTGAATTTGTTGATTCTTTGTATTGCTTTCTTTGTTTCAGTTTCATTAATTTCTGCCCTGATTTTTGTTATTTCTTCTTGTCTGCTGGGTTTGGGTTTCATTTGCTGTTGCTTTTCAAGTGTTGAGTTGCAATGTTAAGTTATTTATTTGTGTTCTTTCCGATTTTTTGTTGTAGGCACTTAGAGCTAGCTATAAACTTCCCTCTAATGACTGCTTTCAGTGTGTCCCAGAGGTTTTGTCGTGTTGTACTGTCCTTTTCATTTATTTCTAGGAATACTTTTATTTATTTCTTAATTTCTCTTTTGACCCATTCATCATTCAGGAGTGTGTTGTTTAATCTCCATGTGTTCATGTGGCAATTATGGCTTCTTCGGTTGTTGATTGTAAGCTTTATTGCATTGTTATGGGGTGCGGGGATCTCGGTGCCAGCTGCTGGGCGTGGCACCGGTCTCCCGCGGGCCACTGGGGTGCACGTGTGTCCCGCACCGTGTTGCTGTGGGTCTCTGCTACCGGGCCTGGTGACTCTGGAGAGCTGCTGTCAGCCGCCTGGGCGGGTTCCATCCCAATTTCCACCGAGCACTCCCTCGAGATACGAGATCCATCGGCCGCTGGATCTCGTGGGAAGTGCGGAGACGGCGAAAGCAGGGTCTCCGTGAGTCGTGGTTTACGAAGAGACAGCTCTCTCCGGGAAGACTGGATCGTAGGCAGTAA